ATAGGGGGCTGATCTCGGCCGAGCGCAGCGACGCCGCACCCGGCTCCGCGGCCGAGGGGCACAATGGCGACGCGGGCCTTGGGGAGAACGGGCGGGACAGCACGGACATCAACTCGCCCAGGGGGCGGGGAGGGGGCGGGTCTGACGTGATGACGGCCCCCACCGACGCCGAACTGGAGGGTCGGAGCTCCGAGGAGATCTTTTCCCCAAAGCCGCACATGCTGCGCCCGGAGCACGACGGCAGGGGCCTGCGGGAGCGCTGGTTCCGGAAGGTGTGCCGGTGTGTTTGTTTGTTTGTTTGTTTGCGTGCAATTTCATTTTGACCATTGCGCGGGGTCGCGGGCGTCCGCCAGCCAGGGCGATGCCACAGCCGGTCCCGCGCGCCTGGCAACGTCGACCCTCACCGGCCCTTTTGCGCCGTTGCATTTCCAATAGGTGCGGTCGGTGTTCTGCTGCCTGGCCCCCCCGGATGGCGAGGCCCTGTACCAGCCGACGCCTGAGCCGGAGATGGACGAGTGCGTGGCGGAGTTCGCCGAGCCGGGCATCCCCCGCCCGCCCGCGCCCCCCGAGGGGTACTCCTCGTTCGTGATCGGCCCCAAGGCGGAGGGGGACGCTAGGAAGAAGACGCTGGTGCTGGACCTGGACGAGACACTGGTGCACTCATCGTTTAGGCCCGTGGAGCACCCGGACTGGGTGATCCCCGTGGACATCGACGGCAAGATGGTGGACGTGTACGTGATGAAGCGCCCCTGGCTGGAGCACTTCATGCGGTCGGTGGGGTCCCGCTTCGAGGTGGTGGTGTTCACGGCCAGCCTGAGCAAGTACGCGGACCCGTTGCTGGACCTGCTGGACGAGGCCAGCGTGGTGCGGTGGCGGCTGTTCAGGGAGGCCTGCTCGCCCTACGAGGGAAATTATGTCAAAGACCTGAACCGCCTGGGGCGGGACCTGGCGTCCACGATCATCGTGGACAACTCCCCGCTGTCCTACATCTTCCAGCCCGCCAACGCCCTGCCCATCGGGGCGTTCATGGGCGAGAAGGACGACCAGGAGCTCCTGGAGATGGTGCCCCTGCTGATGGACTTGGAGGGGGTGGACGATGTGAGGGACTACCTGGCGCAGCAGTCGAACGGCTTCCAGAGGAATGTGCTGGCCCAAGGGATGTCCCTCGTACCCCTGGGCCATGGCGTGGGCTCCGAATTGTGCCAATCCAATTGAGGGGGCGGGGGGAAGGGGTAGGTTGGTGTAGGTGTGAGGGCGGTCCTGCGGGTGGTAGACGGCGGGAGACCTAGGCTGTGGGAGTGGGATTGAGTTTGGCAGCGTCCTGGGCAGGATTGTGGGGCGGAGCACAGCAGAGAGGGCTGCTGGAGGGAAAATGGAGTGGGGGACTGGACGGTCATCAACAAATGAGCGGTGTGTGTAAAGTGTGTGGGCTGTATGGAGAAGCGAACGAAGCTGTACTTGTCTTTGATTGCACTTGTCTCGGGTCGAAGACTCAAAACTTGCTGCCATGCATGCTGATGCTGTCTTGCCATTCATGTAAATTGTATGGAGGCCAGGTGTGCCCCACTTCTATTGTTGGACAGGGTGTGTGTCTGTTTTGACAACTTGATCTCCAAGTAAGTTGTGGTGCTGCTTCCTTGAGGCAGGACCCGTGATGCCATGGCTGCACGGCCATGGCACATGCGATGCAGGTGTGACGGCACCACTGTCTTTCGGTTGTTCCTGTATTTAGACACATCTGCCCGAGGGAAATGACTATTGTGCCAATCATTGACTGAGCATGCATCTGGTGGTCTTAAAGCTACGAATTTCAGGCTATGCAAAGTATGAGATGCATGAGCGATGAATTTATTTGTGCAAGCGGAGACAATGTGAGTGAGAGTTGTTGTCCAACCCCTCAACACTTAGTTTTAAACGTCCTGGTGGCATTGAGCATTTTTTGGTGCAATGAGAAGCTAGGTTTGTTAAGCAACTCCAGATGTGTTGCCTTGTTGTGGGTGCATGGGTATCAACTAATTGGACAAGGTGTGCACTCTGCTTTGCTGCAAGCTGATGTTGACAGCTTTGTGGCTTCATGTGCGAAATTGTACTGGCAGACTATTGTGCAGACTATTATGTGAAGAGGGGAGTCCATGCTTTTGGAATGCATTCCATGGCAGTTGTGTGAAGTCTTGTTGTTGCATCAGACAAAAGCACTTGACCAAGTGGCAACAAGTTGGTGGTTGTGCTCTTCAGACGTCAAAGTAAGGGATTGTTGGGAACCCGGAGAAAGGCAAGTCCTGGAAGTCATTGAGCAAGTGCTGCAGTGTCTGCCAGGGATGTGCACACTTGAGCTTTCTGTTGTGGGGCACCTCTGTCATTTCTGCACCCCAGCTCCCCAGACACTAAAGAAACTAGACAGGTGGGTGCATCACACACATGCTGAAAGCAAGTCACTTTATTCTTGCATCATTGCCTGGATCAACGTGCTGTGATGCCCTTGCTGCTTCTGGGAATCCCGTACTGGTATCTTTACTGGTGCACCCGCCCCAACACCAAAATTGGCATTGTTGCTTGTGCCTAAATGGCTGCGCGAATCCAGTGCGTCGTCTACATCAATCTCCAAATCAATCGAACATAAGCAGAGGTGAGCTGCTTGAACGCAAAAAAAACGAGTTGGGAGCCGCAGAATGCATATTCGAGTGCCAACTGCAAAATGGTCAATGGCCCTGTTGCAGCACACGTGCTGTCAGTGTTCCCTGATTTTGGGCCCTGTTGCAGCATGTGCGCTGTCAGCGTTCCAAGATTTTGCACCCACGTTGTGTCTTCTCACCAAAGAGCTGCTGTCCTTTTCAGGATAATGGGAACACAACCAAAATTTGGAGCAGTCAGGAAGCGGGAATGGCTGGATGGTGGCCACATCCATGCCAGGGACTGGGTGGCTCAATTGCCGAAAAACGTGTGAATGCCAATAACATCAAGATGCGCAACTGATTATTGTCTGCAGGTCCGCAGGTTTTACACCAAAAGCATTCTAGCCAGGACATCAGCCAGGTCACTGATAGGCAAAACCGCAGTGACCAGCATAGTTTTGTGCTGAGCCAGTCGTCCATCGCCTGCCTGGGGCGGCGGCAGTACCCAGCAAAACAGAAATACTACAGTGGTATAGCAATAGCGGCGTCGTTTGGGGCACAGAAGAGAAACTTCGACCAGTACACTCGTTCTTGTACGGCAGTGGCCCTAATTCTGGGGCTGGGGCATGCCAACAAGTTCCCGCCCAACACTCCACTGGAACCACCGGTCACACGGAGAGACGTCCAACATACTTCCCACAGGCGGCCGCGCAGCCCCGGTGTGACAGGGCGCGTTTTGGGCCCCACCATCCCCCACTGCCCACAAGACAAGCCGCCTCTTGGCGCCTCGAAAGTCCCGTCATGTCAGCCATGCCGGACTTCAAACCGCCAGCGTGTGTCCAGCTGTGGGTCTCAGCGCCACAGACGGGGTTGGTCACACGCTCCCACACCACCAGGACCCGGCAAACCGGCGGAAAGGGAGCGGAAGCACCGTACAATTTCTGCGCTCACCCCCTTGGCCCCGCCCTACCCATCGCCCTCACCACACCAACAGGGGCCATTAAAAAACAGGCCGAAAAGCAGCGGAAGGAGCGCGAAGCTGCTAAGGGAACAGGTAGAAAGGCGCCCCCACGGTGGAGCCCCTCTGCCATTCACCACTCCTCCTCGTCGGAGTCGATCAGGCGCAGCAGGTCGCGCCTGCGGCTCCGCGCCGGCCCGCCGCGCTCCTCCTCCCTCCGCCGCCCCGCCCCGCCGCCCGGCCGCCTCCACCGCCGCGCCCTGGACGTCGGCGTGGCGCAGCCCGACCCCCACGCCCCCTCCGCCCCTCCCGCCTCCTCGCCGCCCTTCGAGAAGCTCGCCGAGAGCCGGCGGCCGATCCAAGGCGTCCCGGCCGTCGACCTCTCCCCGCCGGGCCCCCCGCGCCCGCCTCCCAACCTTTCAGTTTCCGGCCGATTGTTTCCCCACCCTCGCCCTGGGGCGGCATCCCTCGCCCTCGTGATCTGCCCCGGCCTGGGCCCGCCCTCCCTCGGGCTGGGGCTGGGCGACCTGGAAGGCCGGCTGCTGGCGGCCAGTCCCGTGGACAGCGCCCGCGCCTTGGTCTCCACGGCCAGCTCGCATTGCCGCCGCTGCTGCGCGAGCGCGCCCACAACCTCGCGCTTCAGCTCTTCCGCCTGGGCCGAGAACCCCCGCTGCAGGTCCCTAAGCCGATTGGCGAACTCCTTCTCCAATTCCGCCACCCGCCGCACCAGCAGCTCCTCCTCCTTGCGCTTCACGGCCGCGAGCTCGTGCAGCGCGCGGTCCAGCTGCTTCTGCGAGTTGGCGATCTCGCGCCGCCGCTCCTCGATCGCTATCTCCGCCTGCTCCGTCAGCAGGCTCTCGTGGCCGCGGATGTCCAGCGGCGCCTGGCCCACGTCGCCCAGGCTCATCTCCTGCAGCGCCTTGGGCATGTCCACCACTAGGTCCTCCTCAAAGGCATCCGTGACGCGGCGAGCGTTGCTCTCGCCGAGGCGCGCCAGCGCTGCGGCCGGCGGGGCGGGACGCCGCTCGTACAGAATGCTCTTCAGGCGGCGGAGGGAGCTGTCGGGCTCATACCCCCTGTCCGACTCCGTGTCACTCATTGCGGCGGGTCACTCGCGGGGGGGGAGAGTGAGTGTGCGGGGAGGGTGGGGGGGGCATGTGTACTGGGAACGCCGAAGATTGGCAGGTCCGACATTGGGAGTCGCTATGTCGCCGGGTCCCATCTCGCCCTCGGGCTGGACGCAGATTAGTGCTGTACTTTACGTGAAACGGCCGGCTGCTCCCGCCCATTGGGGCAGTCAGCCGCACTCACACCGGAATTCCCAATCAAATCCCATTGGTACAAATACACTAATGTACAAAGAGCGAAATCCGGAACTCGGGCATGATAGTTTTGCCTTTTCGGTCTGCGTGTCCCCAATGCTGAGGCAAAGGAACGATCCATGGTTCAAAACCCTTTTGCAGAACTGGGCCGTGGCGGGGGGGGTTTGGCAACAAAAAAGATGGCGCTCACTGGCGCGCGTCCCCTTTGGCTCCTCCGTCAGTGAGTCCAGAAACCGGAGCACAAAATCCAGGTCCAAGCTGGTTGTCCAATCACCATTGCGTGTCCCCACTCCTGATGCTCCGTTGCCGAGGTCAAATTGTCCCATAATATTTAAGAGAAGCGCCGTCTCCCGTTCATCCCAATCTGGTGCTTCCCACCCTGCGCCGTCCTAGATGTAAACACTTTAACTACGCTAATGTTGCTTACGTGAAACGGCCGGCTGCTCCCGCCCTTTGGGGCAGTCAGCCGCACTCACACCGGAATTCCCAATCAAATCCTATTGGTACAAATACACTAATGTACAAAGAGAGAAATCTGGAACTCGGGCATGACAGTTTCGCCTTCCAAATCAAAACGATCTTGCGCTTACTCAAACAAATGCCCGAGGGAGGATTGCAGGCGCTCGGGGCCAGTACGCATCCAACCGAAGAACCTGAAATATGAAAGTAACGCGACTGTACCATACATCTCTTAGATGAAATGCGGACTTGAACTCAGCCACCCAATGGCTGATATATGCCAAATGGAAACGCCTTGAAGCGTGGCAAGCACGCAAGGTAGTGGGGTAAATCCGCCATATTGATACCATAAGGCAATGGAATGCGACACGGTACAGCTCCACGGCGTCAAAAGTAGAGGCGTGGCGTCGGCGCCGAGACGGCGAGGTATGCGCCCCGAGCAGCGTGCCGTGTCGCGGCACCCGATGAACTCGAACCCATGGCGGTAAACAGCAGACATGGTGGTAAGCGGAGTCGAGGTGAGACACTTGCTACCCTTTCCTTCGGCGCTCCACGAATTCTAATGAGGTGTCCAGCACGAGGAAGTCGTAGTCGCGTGCAAAGTAGGCTCAGTCTGCACGTGAGAAGAAGATGAAGTCGAAAATTATGACCAGAATCGCTCGGATCTTGGGTGGGGGCTGGGGGGTGCCGGCGTAGCTGAGCAACCCCTCAATCGCATCCACTGGGAAAGCCCGGACTTGCATGGTGTACTGGGTCTCAGGGGCTCGGTTTTTCCAGGCGCGGATCAAGGCCTTGGTTAGCCAATCGGAGGCGCAAAAATCAAAGCCTCTCTCACGATGAATAGTGCCCGCACTGGGGTGTGGAGGTGGGGCGGGTCGATCCCTCTGCCTCCAAATAGACGAGATAAGCGTAGATGTCGGCCTCCCTTCGGGCCCCCACCGTCGCGAGGGGGCCTCCGATGCGCGTGGTGGTTAGCCGCTCGATGCTCCGCCTCCGCCGGGTCCGAATCGTCGGACTGCGCGTGCTGGGCACGGCGCTCGTGGCGGTATGCTCGGGGACAGGCGGACTGGCGGGCTCCGCCTGCCAGGTCGGCCGAGGTCGCGGGGTCGGGTCGCGGGCACAGTTTGCTTGCGCGAGAAAGGATCATTACTACACCGCACTCACCACATAAGTACGGTGGTAAGCTCGCGGGCCACCGGTGCGGAAAGAATCCATGTCATGGCACCCACACCGGTGCCTTAGTGTACTGTCATTGTACCCATATACTCCATATTCTAGTAATAAATGTCCTGACCGTTCATAATCTGATAATCACTCCCCCTCTGAGTATTTTCGTCCCGAAAATCAAATCATGAACCACCACTCGATCCACCCGTGTCCTCTATTGGTTGGTCCCTCTTAATCATCATCGGAATATCCTCGGGAGGTTTAATTTCCGTCTCCGGTACCCAAGTAGCGTCCTCAATCGGCCAGCCAAGCCACAAGATAAGAAACTCACGAGTCCTCCTATTTCCTACCCAAACATATCGCCACCGGAGCAACTTTTCAATTTCGTACTCATCATCCGCCATCTCAATTTTCGGAACAGGAGCCTGCTCACGTTGATCCCAATCACTGTCACGCCATGCCTTGAGTAGGCTCACATAAAACACGTCGTGGATACGCCAATCATCAGGAAGCTGCAGTCGGTAGGATTGGGTACCAATCCGTTCGATGACACGGAAGGGCCCCACAAAGCGTCTTCGCAGCTTTGCCAGTGTTCCACGCAT